TTCAGTCATTCCACTGCTGGTTTTATGTTTCAGTATTTTCATGATATATTTTATGAAATTATCGTTTCATTTAGCTGTACTAACATGATGGCGCGTGAATAAAGCTAATAAAACGGTGTAAAAAGTTGATTTTTTTTTCATCAGGATCGAATTTATTTGTGACCCATGATCAAAGGTGTACTTGGTGTTGTCGCCTGTCTTAGTTTTCGGGAGCGTTCCAAAAATACCCTGTATATATATACACGGAACGGATTTCATTTCTCGATCGACGGAGCCCCTGCCGTGCGCGTTTAGTTGGCGTGCCTCCTAGAAATTAAAAATATCATTTCCTATCTATTAACTAGCTGTTCCCCGCACCTTCGCCCGCGTGTAATTTATTACAATTGGATTTCATGGGTTTTAATGTTTTTGCGCGGAACCCTAATTCTTTTTCTAAATTAAAAGTAGCCTAAGTCCTCCTTATAATATCAGCTATTTGCCACTGAAAGTCTCGTCAAAATCGGTTCAGCCGATTCGGAGATTAGCCGGAACTAACAGACAGACAGACAACAATTTTAAAAATTATGTTTTTGTTATAAGTACCGTATGTACTTTCATATGTATTTAGTAAAAAACTGTTATTTTGATATTACAAAAAGACACTTCAATTTTATTTATTTGTATAGATATATATTAATAGACAGGAAATGATATTAAATAAGATTTAGACATTATTAAATATCATTTAATTGTGAAATGATATTTTTAATTTATAGGAGTCACGTCAACTAAACGCGCACGGCTGCGGCTCCGTCGATCGAGAAATGAATTTAAAGATTTTTTCATAGGAAGGGTCGTCGGAAAGGGCAGAACCACGTCTGCCTGGCCAGCTAGTATATATCCGCTGGCTTTAGTTCGTTTCCATTATTGATAAGTACATGCTTTCTTAGTAGCTTTTATATATATTTTATAATTTTTTATAACATTATTTGTATGCTGTTTAGATTATATATTTAGAGAAGTTGGTTTGACAGAGGATGGAGACCAAGGTGATTGTAATGATGTCACCTGGGTACAGGATCTCAGTGATGCTACTACGTAGAACCATCATGTTTGGACTCATTTTCAAATAGGTAAATGGACACCTAAATGACTGTGATGATATCACCTTTATGTTGATGCAATCCGAAGGTAGGTATAGGATCTCAGTGACGACACTAGATAGAAGGATCGTGTTTGAACTCATTTAAAAGGGCTCATAAAGACCTAGGTGACTGTTATGACCTCACATTTTTGATGGTGCAATCCGAAGGTGGTTATAGGATCTCAGTGGCGGCACTAGATAAAACGATCGTGTTTGAACTCAATTGAAAGGCCTCATAAAGACCTAGGTGACTGTTATGACCTCACCTTTCTGATGGTGCAATCCGAAGGTGGACGGCACTAGGTAGAATGATCGTGTTTGAATGATAGAATAATTTCGACATTACACGTTCATGCTGACTGATGTCAGTCAAACCCAAATTTTCAATTCACCATTTAATTGTAATTTAATACCTTGAAAAGTAAAAGAAAAAAAAACGAATAGAAAAAATTATAATATTTAATATCATTTTACCCATTTTAATTTAACGCGCGCCATTGTTCGACCTCTTCGAGCGCATAATGTTTGTGCTGTTAGCCTACACCCTACACGGCTCTTTCAGCTTGAATGGACTCGTTAACGTAAATTACTTCAGTGAGTCTCAATACGATTCACCGGTGAAAAATATTAACACCACAATACAGAAAAAGTTGTAATTTGTACAACGCCATCTATTACGTTTTAAGTACAAATATATTATAATAGAACGTTTTTTTTTATAAAAAGGAATTATTTTATTACTATTTCTGAGATTTAATGGCGCCTTTAAACAAATCGAACCTACATTTCAAAATAATAATCATAACTTTCGATAGAATTAACCAATTTTAATAAAACAAAGATTAAATGAACTGGAAGATACGCTTTATGATTTTCTGAACGATTTCTTTGAAAAAAAGATGTTTAATTAAGACGTGATGCATTCATAAACAAACAGACAGACAGACAATTCTAAAAATTATAAAAATGTACTTATTTAATGAGTTCAGTCTCCATAATGATTTTAGTCACAAATTAATATACTATAGTACAATGTACAGAATCAGACACAGCATGTTATTACCGCATGTATAAAGATTTAAAGATAGATGGCGCTGTTAAAATCAATTCTGAAAATAAAATAGATTAATTGACGCGATTGATACAATAAAAAAACATAAAAGAACTTATAAATCAGGCCTGCTACGTAAGCAAAAAAGAAAGTTTGATCCTCGCCGAAACCAACGAAATTGTTAATAGCTCTTTTAAAATTTGATTTACTACGTAGAGTACTCGGCGGTAAAGAATAAATGAGATTGTCAACACACAGTAGGGCATTGAGTAATATAAAGATTAACAGCAAATATGAAAAGCCATCTACAGGAAAAAATCACAACCTGCCTTCTTGTATTACATTTATGCAACAACACCATCTATCGATGAAATGGGTTAACTATTGTACTTTAGATTTAGATAATAAGGTTAATATATTTTTTTATATATTACGTTCTTTATGTAATACTTTTGTTTACTGCGTTTTAGATATAATTATATCATTATAAAACATTATTTTACATCATTTAATTGTTATGATTTATAATATGATATTAGTTTAAAATGTACTTGATGACTCAACAAACGCCACCATTGAACAAATTCGTACCTATACTTCGTAGCCATACTTCAGAATATTTATCCTAACTTTTGATGGAATGAACTAATTTTAATGAAATAAAGACTAAATTTAACCTGAAGATACACTTTATAATTTCTTTAATGATTCTTTTGATATAAATTGGTACTTTATACGTGATACGTTAACAAACAAACAGACAGACAGACAGACAGACAGAAAATTCTAAAAATGGTAGAAATGTATCTAATTACTTATTTTTAGTACCTCTCAATTACTTTTATTATATAAATCTAAAATGTAAGACATCGGCTATTTACATTTTTATTATATGTGTAGACTGTAGACTATTCCCAAGATATCCCGGACGTCAGTCTGAGCGAGATTAGAATGGCTCTCCAGCACCTGAAAAACGGCAGGGTCCCAGGTGAGGATGGAATTACAGCGGAGCTTTTGAAAGCGGGTGGAAAACCGATACTTGAAGTCCTTCAGAAGTTCTTTAATTCCGTCCTCCATGGTGGCATTACTCCGGAGGCGTGGAGCAGAAGTGCGATGGTCTGGTTCTTCAAGAAATGCGACAACGCTCTCTTGAAGAACTACAGACAGATTTCCCTTCTGAGCGGCGTCTACGTGCTGTTTTCGAGAGTCATTACGAATCGTCTCGCGCGCAGACTTGACGACTTCCAGCCTCCCGAACAAGCCGGTTTCCGAAAAGGCTTTAGTACCATAGACCACATACACACCCTTCGGCAAATTGTACAGAATACAGAAGAGTATAATCTGCCACTTTGCCTTGCGTATGTGGACTATGAGAACGCCTTTGATTCCGTCGAAATTTGGGCGGTGCTGCAGTCCCTTCAGGGGTGCCAAGTTGACTGTCGGTATATCGAAGTGCTGAAGTATTTGTACAGTAAGGCTACGATGGCTATCCGAGTACAGATTCAGAGTACGAAACCTATCCAACTGCAGAGAGGTGTAAGACCGGGTGACGTTATATCCCCGAAACTCTTCACCGCTGTATTGGAAGACGTTTTCAAGCTACTGGCCTGGAAAGGATGCGGTATTAACATCAATGGCGAGTACATCTCTCACCTTCGATTTCCCGACGATATAGTCCTTATGGCAGAATCGCTGGAGGACCTAAGCACCATGCTCAATGACCTCAAAACAAAAATCATGTATAACGTCCATGTCACACCTATGCCGGTAGTTCTTGGGAGCACTAAGCTCGAAGTTGTTGACGAGAATGTTTACCTGGGACAAATAGTCAGACTAGGTAAGTCCAACTTCGACCGAAAGGTCAATCCACGGATTCAACTCGGCTGGGCAGCGTTCGGGAAACTACGACACATCTTCTCGTTAGATATACCTCAAAACCTTAAAACGAAATTGTACAACCAGTGCGTGTTGCCAGTGATGACTTACGGATCTGAGACGTGGTCCTTCACTGCTGGCCGTATGAGGAAGCGCAAGGTCGCTCAGCGAGCTATGGAGAGGGCTAAACTTAGAAATGAGGATATCCACAGTAGAACCAGAGTAACCGACATAACCCAACGGATTAGTAAGCTAAAGTGGCAATGGGCCGGCAATAAATCTCGAAGAACCGACAACCGATGGGGAAGAAAGGTTCTCGAGTGGCAGTCTCGTACCGGCAGGCGACCTGGTAAGACATGCAGGAAGTCGATGGATGATGGTGGCTCAGGACCGTGCTTTGTGGCATTCCTTGCGGGAGGCCTATGTCGAGCAGTGGACTTATGAAGGGTTGTAATGAATGAAGTTTAAATGTTTTGTTAAAGTTAAAATGTACAAAAAGGGTTATTATATTATCAAATAATACATAAGTGAAAAAAAAACCCTGGGAATGAGGTGTTCGCTACCATGTTGGTTCTATTTATACTCATTTAAAATTTGTACAAATAAAAAAATAAAATTATTGTAAAGTGAAATATGTTTAAAAAAAGTCCCACTGGGTTTCTTGCTGGTTCTTCCCAGGACAGAGGTATTTTTCGAACCAGTTGTATATGAAAAAAATGACTTTCAATAAGTATGTAAGTATTATATGATAATCAATTTTGAATAAAAATTATTTTAAGTTTCAGTTTAAGATATTTAGTGACCCAGCAACCACTTTATCAGTACTGGAGTGATATACATAAATAAATTACGCACACTATAAACAACTTAATGATAACCGATAAATATATCTGTTTATTATGCTGTAGTTGATTACGTTATTTACTCATACGTTTATTGAGACCAAGACAGATGAGTCGTGTGCTGTGTCGCACCGTGTTCACTTTGCGCTTAAAAGTGTCATTGTCGCGCAACATGTCCGCATACCTAATCGAAGACCCTAAATACTCTTTCTTGAAGGATTTGGGATTGGAGAATAAGAATATTGGCGTGTTTAATGGGAAATGGGAAGCAAATGGGCAGGTAAGCTCCATTTATGTAGGAAATCATTTCATAAAGCGTGAAGGTAAATAGAGAAGAAATAGATAAATTAGAGACGGAAGAATGATTTATAAAAATATGATAAATATGTACTTATAATAAAAAAGATAAAGACAGAAGTCTCGTAATTCATCGCTTCTCCCCGTCTCCGGTGCCCGTGAGATCTTCATGGCATTTTTATAAGTACTACACACTCACCCGATGAAATTTGACGAGAAATACTTGTATACATATGATTGGTTTCTCGGAAACGGCTCTGATGATTTGGATGAACTTTTGTATTACGATAATATTTCTTTTATTTTCCAGTTTATCTAATACTTTCATTTCATCTCTGAGAAAATTTATTTTTGTTCTAACGCCGAGAAAAGGGCCCTTAATTCTTATCAAATAGTATTTTGATTATAAAACTGTATAATAAGCAATTTAAGATATACAAATAGTATTAATTTATACCGTGTAGTGGTAAGTACATACTTGTAATACAGTGTAGAATATCCACTACATCCCCATGGGTGTCTTAAGAAGGAAACAAGCCAGGAGATAGACACAGCGACGTCTTACGTATTATAATAGATAGGTAGGTACCTATAAAATAAAAATAAAAGACTGCGGCTGCCAACCCGCATACCAAATGTGGTAACTATTGCAAATATACCCCTATAAGGCAAAAGGCAATCAATCTAGAGTAGAAGGAGGCCTATGTTCGGCTGTGGACTTTTGATAGACTGTAATAAGGATGATGATGTTGAATAATTTAAGCTTTTTAAAGCGTTAGTCAGTCGTTATAATTTCTTATGTAACAAACTGTATTTTTAAAGCGGCCTCCCTTCGCCTTTTAATTTTTAATCGTTCTATAACAGAACGATAAGAGTTAAGTTCAGAGCCCTTGGTAAAAGATAAGAGCTTAGCAAACATTTGTGTCTACATTGGAATACCTACATATATTACTATCTATATAAATAAAATGATAGAGGTTTGCAGTAGTGCGCGCATCACGGAAAAACTAGGTAGGTACCTACTGGATAGATCTCAATTAGGTTTTTTAAGTTTTATTGATTAGATAATTGGCTCTTATCCAGTGGCGTAGCGTGCCTTAGATGGGCCCTGTATCAAAATTTTGATGGGGGGCCCCAATGAAGAGTAAAGATTTCACAAAAGGAACAAAAACGCTTGCATTGAATTAAACTTATTATATATTCATTATAAGTTATTACTTACAATTAATACTCTTAGGAACTAAGCTAGTCAAACAATTCAAATCAATAATACACTTTTCGTGCCTTTTGTTCGGCGAACATAGCTGAAGACGATACGGTGGCATTCATAGCTGAAGACGATTTCAGTTTTACTAAATTCTTTGCTTCTATAGACAATAGTGATAGCCTTTCCTAGGTCCCATAGAAGTCCTTGGAATTTTTGCTTACACACGTTCGGGGCCCCTGTAGCCCGGGGGCCCCGTATCATTGATACGGCTGATACGGCGACAGCTACGCCCCTGCTCTTATCTTAAAAAAAATATTGCCATATCTTCATTTAAAATAGTTATTATAGTTTTAAGAAACAACGATTTTTATAAGCCTTACGTGTTCAATGATGTGTGTAAGCAACGCGGACGAAGTCGCGGTTATCAGCTAGTAGGTAATTATCAAGATTGGCAGTATCAAACAGTAAATTATAAGTATTAATGATATGAGTAAATCAATTCCAATATTGTTAACTATGGCAGTTTTACTTTAGCAAAACGATAGTCTTATTGGCCTTAGAATAATAACACCATTCTAAGTTAATGGTATAATCTCTAAAACGATAGAGACTTTAGTCCAGTAGTGAACTTTTAGGGTCAGATAACGAAGAAGAAAATTGTTACTCACTTTACTTAAACTTTAGATAGGATGTCAATATAGTTCAATTCAATTCACTTATGATATACCTACTACAAACTATATTTGCATGAAACAATAATAATTCAAAATACCTAACACGAATTTATAATACTTGTATACCTACAATGTAAAAGTACCAAAAAGTATAATTTTCCACCTAAAAAATAAAAGCCCCAAACAACAGTCACATATTATTATCGATACAAAATAAATACATCAAGCTAACAAAGTTTTTTAAAGCAATTTTACCTGTAATATTATGTATACTGTGGCTATTTATTAGAAAATATTAATAATGTACTATTATGTATACTGTGGCCATTTATTCTAAAATATTAATAGTAGTACTAATTGGTTATTAGGTGATCCAGTCGCTTAGCCCAGCCAATGGTAAAGTGATAGCGGAGGTGCAGACAGCTAGCCCCTCTGATTATGAAGCTTGCGCTGCCGCCTCGCAAGATGCTTGGCATTACTGGGCGGAGCTACCGGCACCAGCTAGAGGAGAAATCGTCCGACAGATCGGTGATGCTTTAAGAGAGAAACTTCAGCCCTTAGGAAAATTAGTTTCCTTGGAAATGGGTAGGTCCAATTAACATCCACCTTTACGCTTTAAAAATACCGAACTCTAATCTAATCCGAAGATCTAATTTCGCAGTTTTATTACTTATGTTTCTCAAACACGTCTCAAAGGAACTAGAAGAGGAATATTTATGTTAATAATTAGTTAAAAGTAATCAGTACGCAGTAAACTGTACTTATTTATTACTAGCTGTGCCCGCGGCGTAGCTCGCGTATACAGGTTTTACATAAAGAATTTGTCGTTTAGGTAAGAGAATATTAAACGATTTATTTCATTACTGTATCAATAAGTGGTAAAAAAATAAATCATTATCATCAAAGTTCTAAGTCGTTTATGATAGAGCTTCTGTGTAAACGACGTTAGAAGTAGGCTTAGCCGGGGTATACACAAAAAGGTTACGGGGGCTACTAACGCGGGAAAAAGCAACATAGAGTTGGCCATGTGCAAAACAGTCAGTACTGAGGTACACTCCTACAACGCGTAAAGTTTGACCTTGCGCTTTATTTACGGTCAACGCATAACACACATTCACTGTAACTGGGAACTGAACGCGCTTAAAACTGAAAGGAAAGTTACATCTTAATAGAGGGTTTTTGGGCAGTGCTGCCAGATAAAAAAAACTCATTCAGCTCTAGGACAACACAAAAAGCGCTAGATTTCATGAAAACAGCGCTTTAAAAAAGCCCTAGATTTCGCGCTAAATTAACTACAAACAAAGTTTGTGTTTTTTTATATAATCATAATAAAGAAAACAACATTAAGTTTTTTTTCTGGCAATATTTTTTTGATGTATCAATACTTCGCAGGACATCGACTTATAATTATAGCAATTGCTGTCAACAGTAGTTAGTACTGTACGAACAATAAAAATGTCATTAATTGTTTTAAAGTGCAATGTATTTCGCAACTTAGTTTCAGATGTCAGCATCTGATTGCGGTTGCTACACAGTTTCTTTGTGTTATAACTTCTAAGTAACTTTTAACTTAGCTGTGCTCGAAGCAACTGACTGAAACTGAATAAAGCATAATAAATGCGTTGCCAAAACCATGAACGAAAACTTTAATAAAGGGGATTTCCCCGCTTATAGTTGTCGGTAAAAAAATCAAGTTGATCATTCTAAAGGGGAAGCCAGGAGATCCATAGCACAGGGTATCCTAGTTTGGACTCGTCTCCCATGCTCTTTGTTTTGTGGAAAAAATATGTTTGAAAAAGATAAACTGCAATGTACTATTTGTGGGAAAAAATAATAAAGGTCATTATTATTATTATCGGTAATGTGGACTAACAGTGCTGCTATAAAAGAGTTAATAACCCGCTAGTCGCTAAAATATTGAAATGTGTGCTAAATACACCAAAAAGCGCTGGATTAAGCGCTAGGTGCTCAAATTTCGAAATGCGCGCTATACATTCCAAAAAAGTGCTAAATCTAGTTCCCAAAGCGCTAAAATGGCAGTTCTGATTTTGCGTATATTATAAATACAATATCGCGACATTTAGTTGCGAAATGTTTATTTTTGGTCTGGGTCCTTTGCATGGCTTTGTTGGATACAAATTTTTCTTATAAGTCTCAATACGATTCATCGGCGAAAAATCTCAACACTGCAATTCAGAAAAGTTTGTAATTTGTACAACTCCATCTATTACGTCCTTTGTGTGAGAAAACATCCTATCTCTTTTTGTGTTTTAAGTATAAATATATTAATTATTATGGAACGTTTTTTTTACACAGAAATCTTTTTATTACTATTTCTGAGATTTTATGGCGCCATTGAACAAATTTGAACCTACATTTCAAAATAATAATCATTACTTTCGATATAATTAACCAATTTTAATAAAACAAAGATTAAATTTAACTCGAAGATACGCTTTATGATATTCTTAACGATTTCTTTGAAAATAAAAGATGTTTACTTTAGACGTGATGCGTTCATATAATAACAGACAAATAGACAGACAGACAATTCTAAAAATTATAAAATGTTCTTATTTAATTATTTTCAGTTCATCTAATGATTTTAGCCACCAAAATATATATACAATGTACAGAAAGAGACACATGTTATCATCATTTTTATTATATGTATATATTTAAAGAGAGATGGCGCTGCTAACATCATCAATTCTAAAAATAAAAGAGATTAATTAACGCGATTGATACATTATATAAAACGTAAGAGAACTTATAAATCAGTGCCTGCACAGTAAGCAAAAAATAAAGTTTGACTCTCGCCAAAACCAATGCAATGGTTAATAGCTCTTTTAAAATTTGATTTACCACATAGAGTACTCGGCGGTAAAGAACAAATTGAGTTTGTCAACACGCAGTAGGGCAGCGAGTAATATAATAAAGATTAGCAGTAAATATGAAAACTCATCCACAGGTAAAAACGACATTTGCAATTGCATTACATTTTCACAACACCACCATCTATCGAAGAAATGGGTTAACTATTGTGCTTCAGAATTAGTTAATAACGTTAATATATTTTTGTATAATATATTTAATACGATCTTTATTACTTTTGTTTACTGCGTTTTAGATATACATAATTATATCATTATTTTACATAATTTAACTATGATTTATGATATGATATTAGTTTAAAATGCACTTGATGACTCAAACAAAGCCACCGTTGAGCAAATTCGTACCCATACTTCAGAATATTTATCATAACTTTTGATGGAATGAACTGATTTTAATGAAATAAAGACTAAATGTAACCCGAAGATACACTTTATAATTTCCTTAACAATTCTTATGATATAAATTAGTACTTTATACGTGATACGTTAACAAACAAACAGACAGACAGACAGACAGACAGACAGACAGAAAATTCTAAAAATGGTAGAAATGTATTTAATTACTTATTTTTAGTACCCCTCAATCACTTTTATTACAAAAATATAAAATGTACAGACATCTGCTATTTACAGTTTTATTATATGTATAGATTTATATACTTATTTATAAATCGGTGATAGTACCACAGGTGTTTCAAAGTTACTTTAACCGACTTCGAAAAGTAGGAGATACTCAATTCAACTTTATTTTTTTATGTATGTCACCTCATAACTTTTTTCTAGGCGAATGAATTTCAATGATTATTTTTTTATATGGGACCATATGAGAACAGGCACCATCCCATATAATAAGTCCCATATAATAATTTGTTCAAGGTCTGACCAGTAGTTTTTGAGTTATCCTTAATAATTTATATTGAAGTCGGTTGTACAAAATTTTTCATTTTAACACTTGTATTGAACATATTGTTTTATTCATTATTTTATGTTTTATAGCATACTAGCTAATAGCTATGCTCAACATTTGTTGCACCAACCAACAAAAAAAAATTATGGAAACATTACACACAATAACACCCACACAACAACTCAACAAAATTTAATCGTAATGGAATGAATGGTAAAGGAATGCATACGGGACAAACAAAAAGAAACCTTCTTTTTATAAAAAAAGGAAATTTGGCACGATACAATTATTTTTTCGTAGTTTTTTTTTTTAGGATATGGTGAAAAATGAGCACACAGCCCACCTGATGGTAAATGGTTGCTGTGACCCATAGGCATCTACATTTATACTCAATAAAGAATCACAATGCAGATGCGTCATCACCCGTGAACCCGTGATACTCAGATGGAATGCCTCTTTTCCAGTAAAATGTGTCTCCGGTTCTCTACACACACCATACGAAACACGGCAGTGTAAAGCTGCCATTTTACGCTGGTATTATGTGAGAGCGTGGTCCTTCCCCGATCGAGTTATGCTGTATATATGCTGCAGCTATATTAGTAGTAGAGAACTATACTACTAATATAGCTGCAGCATGGCCATTCCATTTTACATGCCTAATAAAGATTTCAATATGTTCGAAATTAATTTCTGGGCCATATATGCCGATGAAGGTTATCTCATGATGCAATTAGTGATTGACTATTTCTTTATTTTAAATAGGAAAAATTCTTCCCGAGGCAATTGGCGAGGTGGTGGAATACATCCACGTATGTGATTTAGCGCTTGGACTATCACGTTCGTTGCCGGGCACCGTTTTCCCTTCAGAAAGGCCCGGCCATGTACTTATAGAGAAGTGGAATCCCCTTGGTCCGATTGGCATCATCACGGCGTTTAACTTCCCAGTCGCCGTTTTCGGATGGAACAGCGCTATTGCTATGGTAAGTGATGTGTTACAGCTGTACGTATATCAAAGTACCTAAAGGTAAACGTACATATGTCCCACTTATGGGCACTGGCCTCCTCTCATTTCTGAAATGGAAACCCAGTACGTGTACTTATATACCTAATGCTATTATCGGTTTGGTCTTTTGCTGCTGGTCGTATGAAGCACAAGTCGCTTAGCTATGAAAGGTGCTACTCTCGGAGATTTTGAACAACAGGTGGATAGTTCCATAATTAGTTAATAAAGCCACATCACCAATCTTCAGTATTTTATTACCATACATGATACAGTACAACAATAGGAACAAACATAAACTTACATAATTATACAATTACCCAAATCATAAAAAGTTTATAGAGTAAATTTTGAACTACACACTATAATTACATACATGTCACCGTCGCAAGAGTTTGGGACAGCACAGGCTACTAAGAGGACAAGAGATATATTCGTTGGTCTCGGATGCGGAAGCGTTAGCTTCTGGTTTGTCAGTTATTATCTATGGGGATAAACTAAAACCCAAAACATAATATTAGTTGGTCTTGGATGCGGAAGCGTTAGCTTCTGGTTTGTCAGTTATTATCTATGGGGATAAACGAAAACGCCACAATATAATATTAGTTGGTCTCTGATGCGGAAGCGTTAGCTTCTGGTTTGTCAGTTATTATCTATGGGATAAACTAAAACGCCACAACATAATATTAGTTGGTCTCAGTTGCGGAAGCGTTGTTAGCTTCTGGTTTGTCAGTTATTATCTATGGGATAAACTAAAACGCCACAATATAATATTATTTGGTCTCTGATGCGGAAGCGTTAGCTATAGCTTCTGGTTTGTCAGTTTTATCTATGGGATAAACTAAAACGCCACAACATAACATTAGTTGGTCTCGGATGCGGAAGCGTTAGCTTCTGGTTTGTCACTTATTATCTATGGGGATAAACTAAAACGCCACAACATAATATTAGTTGGTCTCAGTTGCGGAAGCGTTGTTAGCTTCTGGTTTGTCAGTTATTATCTATGGGATAAACTAAAACGCCACAATATAATATTATTTGGTCTCTGATGCGGAAGCGTTAGCTTTTGGTTTGTCAGTTATTATCTATGGGGATAAACTAAAACGCCACAACATAATATTAGTTGGTTTCAGTTGCGGAAGCGTTGTTAGCTTCTGGTTTGTCAGTTATTATCTATGGGATAAACTAAAACGCCACAATATAATATTATTTGGTCTCTGATGCGGAAGCGTTAGCTTCTGGTTTGTCAGTTATTATCTATGGGGATAAACTAAAACGCCACAACATAATATTAGTTGGTTTTAGTTGCGGAAGCGTTGTTAGCTTCTGGTTTGTCAGTTATTATCTATGGGATAAACTAAAACGCCACAATATAATATTATTTGGTCTCTGATGCGGAAGCGTTAGCTATAGCTTCTGGTTTGTCAGTTTTATCTATGGGATAAACTAAAACGCCACAACATAACATTAGTTGGTCTCGGATGCGGAAGCGTTAGCTTCTGGTTTGTCACTTATTATCTATGGGGATAAACTAAAACGCCACAACATAATATTAGTTGGTCTCAGTTGCGGAAGCGTTGTTAGCTTCTGGTTTGTCAGTTATTATCTATGGGATAAACTAAAACGCCACAATATAATATTATTTGGTCTCTGATGCGGAAGCGTTAGCTTCTGGTTTGTCAGTTATTATCTATGGGATAAACTAAAACGCCACAACATAATATTAGTTGGTCTCAGTTGCGGAAGCGTTGTTAGCTTCTGGTTTGTCAGTTATTATCTATGGGATAAACTAAAACGCCACAATATAATATTATTTGGTCTCTGATGCGGAAGCGTTAGCTATAGCTTCTGGTTTGTCAGTTTTATCTATGGGATAAACTAAAACGCCACAACATAACATTAGTTGGTCTCGGATGCGGAAGCGTTAGCTTCTGGTTTGTCACTTATTATCTATGGGGATAAACTAAAACGCCACAACATAATATTAGTTGGTCTCAGTTGCGGAAGCGTTGTTAGCTTCTGGTTTGTCAGTTATTATCTATGGGATAAACTAAAACGCCACAATATAATATTATTTGGTCTCTGATGCGGAAGCGTTAGCTTCTGGTTTGTCAGTTATTATCTATGGGGATAAACTAAAACGCCACAACATAATATTAGTTGGTCTCAGTTGCGGAAGCGTTGTTAGCTTCTGGTTTGTTAGTTATTATCTATGGGATAAACTAAAACGCCACAATATAATATTATTTGGTCTCTGATGCGGAAGCGTTAGCTTCTGGTTTGTCAGTTATTATCTATGGGGATAAACTAAAACGCCACAACATAATATTAGTTGGTTTCAGTTGCGGAAGCGTTGTTAGCTTCTGGTTTGTCAGTTATTATCTATGGGATAAACTAAAACGCCACAATATAATATTATTTGGTCTCTGATGCGGAAGCGTTAGCTTCTGGTTTGTCAGTTATTATCTATGGGGATAAACTAAAACGCCACAACATAATATTAGTTGGTTTCAGTTGCGGAAGCGTTGTTAGCTTCTGGTTTGTCAGTTATTATCTATGGGATAAACTAAAACGCCACAACATAATATTAGTTGGTCTCGGATGCGGAAGCGTTAGCTTCTGGTTTGTCAGTTTTATCTATGGGATAAACTAAAACGCCACAACATAATATTAGTTGGTCTCGGATGCGGAAGCGTTAGCTTCTGGTTTGTCAGTTTTATCTATGGGATAAACTAAAACGCCACAACATAATATTAGTTGGTCTCGGATGCGGAAGCGTTAGCTTCTGGTTTGTCAGTTTTATCTATGGGATAAACTAAAACGCCACAACATAATATTAGTTGGTCTCGGATGCGGAAGCGTTAGCTTCTGGTTTGTCAGTTTTATCTATGGGATAAACTAAAACGCCACAACATAATATTAGTTGGTCTCGGATGCGGAAGCGTTAGCTTCTGGTTTGTCAGTTTTATCTATGGGATAAACTAAAACGCCACAACATAATATTAGTTGGTCTCGGATGCGGAAGCGTTAGCTTCTGGTTTGTCAGTTTTATCTATGGGATAAACTAAAACGCCACAACATAATATTAGTTGGTCTCGGATGCGGAAGCGTTAGCTTCTGGTTTGTCAGTTTTATCTATGGGATAAACTAAAACGCCACAACATAATATTAGTTGGTCTCGGATGCGGAAGCGTTAGCTTCTGGTTTGTCAGTTTTATCTATGGGATAAACTAAAACGCCACAACATAATATTAGTTGGTCTCGGATGCGGAAGCGTTAGCTTCTGGTTTGTCAGTTTTATCTATGGGATAAACTAAAACGCCACAACATAATATAGCTGAGAACAAATTATCGGACGCGTCCGTCAGCCGCGGCTGACAGACGCAGCTTATTTGAATCTAGCCAGTACATTTAATACTACACTGTGCAAACTATCGGTCGTAAGACGCGGACGTGCCCTTGGGTCGTCCTTGAGCGTTCAGACGTCCGAACAGAATCTAGCCGGCTGGATATTTGTGCGTCCTCGGACGGTGTGCACAGGCCACGGGACGCGTCCGCGGACGTTTCGAGCGTCACAAACGAACCGACCGTGCTCGCGACATGTCAGACGAAGAAAATTTAATTGAATGTGTTCGTGGCCACATAAATACTACTTTAAAACAGGAAGTGTGGGAGCAAATTGCTGCTGAATTAAACATCATTTTCAAGCAGAAAATGAAATTGGTTTTCATTAATTCTTAAGTACATTTTGTAACGTTTATCATCTTTTTGTAAGTCTGGATACAATGTATGAAATTCATCATACTCGAGTCGTTTTACATTAATATCATGGACCCAAACACTCCTTTTCACTTTTATTTTTTGTAAAACAACATAAGGCAGCTGCTGCTAGCTCTATAAATTCATCCTCGCTGTCGCTGCTTGTCGTGTTTCTCGATTGAAACACCTTTATAGAATGACTGAAGTGAGGCGTCCGAAGACGCCGTCTTAATTACCGTGCACACCGCTAAAGCTGAGAACAAATTATCGGACGCGTCCGTCAGCCGCGGCTGATAGACGCGGCTTATTTGAATCTAGCCAGTACATTTAATACTACACTGTGCAAACTATCGGTCGTAAGACGCGGACGTGCCCTTGGGTCGTCCTTGAGCGTTCAGACGTCCGAACAGAATCTAGCCGGCTGGATATTTGTGCGTCCTCGGACGATGTGCACAGGCCACGGGACGCGTCCGCGGACGTTTCGAGCGTCACAAACGAATCGACCGCGCTCGCGACATGTCAGACGAAGAAAATTTAATTGAATGTGTTCGTGGCCACATAAATGCTACTTTAAAACAGGAAGTGTGGGAGCAAATTGCTGCTGAATTAAACATCATTTTCAGTCAGACTAAGCAGAAAATTAAATTGGTTTTCATTAATTCTTAAGTACATTTTGTAACGTTTATCATCTTTTTGTAAGTCTGGATACAATGTATGAAATTCACCATACTCGAGTCTTTTTACATTAATATCATGGACCCAAACACTCCTTTTCACTTTTTTTTTTTGGAGGTCAACATAAAGCAGCTGCCGCTAACTCTATAAATTCGTCCTCGCTGTCGCTGCTTGTCATGTTTCTCGATTGAAACACCATTATAGAATGACTGAAGTGAGGCGTCCGAAGACGCCGTCTTAACTACCGTGCACACCGCTAAGCCGCGACTGTCAGCCGCGGCTGACGGACGCGTCCGATAATTTGTTCTCAGCTTAAGCCGCGACTGTCAGCCGCGGCTGACGGACGCGTCCGATAATTTGTTCTCAGCTTATTAGTTGGTCTCGGATGCGGAAGCGTTAGCTTCTGGTTTGTCACTTATTATCTATGGGGATAAACTAACACGCCACAACATAAAATACCCAGACCGGCGATGGGCAGCAGCGTCAAAGGTGCAAGATCTCCAGGAATGGACTTTTACTGGTTGATAATGATCGAGAATAAAAACTTATATCTTAATTCCGCTGTTATACAAGGAATTTTAAGTAATTTCCGTGTATTTTTTAGGAATTTCGGTGTAGGTTTCAGGTTTCAATTTTTAAATGAGAAAATATTATAAATGTATAAGGTAAGAGCATCAGTAAATGACCATTTAAGGGCACAGACTTTCCTTTTTTAATGCTGAACCTTAATTTTCATGCGAATTCAATGCGTGTTTCCTTTTCTAAACTCTGCGGTAGTTTTTTAACGAAACAAAACCAGTGTTTATTCTTGTACAATGATTGAATAGAAACAATTTTTTTTTTAATTATCAAAAATTAGATTTAGTAGTTGACCATCTAACAAAGTAGTAGATGACCATATATTGCATCAGTAGATGACCATCCAGATGTTCAAGTTTTAATAGGTTTAGCTACATATATAGCAGCTAAGTATTGAGCATAGGTAAATAAATAATGTGTCAGGATTTTTGGATTTCACATTTTAAGGGGGGGGGGGGGGAAGTCTGTGTAAGAGTATCGCTTTTTTAAACTAGAGAGAGAGAGAGGGAGAAAGTGAACTAGGGTGGGACCGATGGATGGGACGGGATATAGGGGGAGGGGGGGGGGGGGGGGAAGAAGGAGGAACAGTTAAAAACGTAAACCAACATGGAACAAATCGCGGGCGTCCGCTAGTTTGTTAAATAAGAAGCAAATTCAAACAACTTTCGTGTTATTTGAAATATAATAAGAAAATCTACAACCCGTTAAAAATTACAAAGAAGTTATATAAAGGAATGTATCTCTGGAACATCAAATACATTTCTCGTTGAACTGGTCTTTCTTGGTTCTTCTATATGAGCAACTACTGCATCCCAAGGATAGTTAAGCACGTTTTTATGATCCGGCCATTTCCACAATCGACCATTTGCTTTCATCGATGAGATTGTAGCTGTATTTTTCATTGCTTTTAGTACTTTCCCTGGATAAAAGTTATTTTCGTACTTAAATATGACAAATTCACCATCTACTCTTTGAGGGGGTTTCAAACCCACAATGATAAATTCTTGATCAGTGTCATTTTCTGACTCTTTCACACTTTCTCCTGAAGAGACCACAGCATTCGAGTCAGAACTTGACGAAGAGAATCGGAGATTTTTCTTTATCCGCTTTATTTTGGTATGTTTTATTATTTTGAGGGCCTTGACTTTCTTTAGTGACACTTCTTCTTTCTTTCTTAGCTTTTCAGTAGCCCTTTCTATTTTTAGTCGCTCAAGTTCTTTTTTTTTGCTCCAATTTCCTCTGGTAAGTTTTTCCTGAAACTATAGTAGGTATTCTTTCTTTAAGACGTGTTTTAGGCGTGTCCTTTTTGTTGTTGGTTTGGTAAAAGAAATGTTTCTTAAAGGGACTAGGTACATTATTTGGTACAGCGTCAGAAATGCTAGCAACACTGTATATACCGGAATTTAATCCATCAGCAACAGCGTTAGTTGAAGATTCTGGAATCATTTCAAGCATAACGTCAGGAGCTGTGATGTCTAATTGATGTAGAGTGGTATCATATATACCGTCAGCAACGCTAATTGCTGGCGATCTTGATATTGGCATTAGCACCTCGTCACCAATAGTAATAGGCATCGCAGTTGCTGATGACTCCATTGTAGTTTTCAAAACACCATCAGTATTACTAGAGGCTGACGGTTCCGTTGCCAGCTGAAGTATATTGTCTATACCGGTGATGGCTGATGAACCAAATTCTACAAGATGCGGTCCTATCAGATAGTAGGCAATCATCCACGGTAACACCTAACGATCCAACCTCTTTTAATGTAGAACCGTTAGTTTGGTTCAATTGTTGTAGCATTTTCAGTTCATCTTTTGTTTTTTTCCACAAATTGAATAACGATAAATCAACCAAATCACCTGACCATTCTCCCAATGTTGATTCAAAAGTTTCTAGTTTTTCAGGATTAATATTATCGTTTAAAAATTGTAAGCCCCTTTTCAGATAATGAATTTGTTTACTATCGTGCTGAATTTTGCTTCTCTCACTCTCAACTGGGACTTTTACCTCCAGCGGGTTCCACGGAAATAAGCCACATTTCCTGAAGCCATTTGCCAAAATTGATTTAGTTATGGTATTATCCATTACCTCGTGTAATAACTTAACGAAATCCTTTTTCTTAAGTACGTGAGGCTCATCATTTTTTATTTTATCAACCCTCTAAATTTGTACACGCCTCCTCTATGCTTCCTTTAGTGGTTTAAATACTGCCACATCCATGAGTTGAATTAAATGGGTTGCGTTAGGATAAAGCGCCACTAACACGATTCCCTTTTCTTCACAAAACTGGCTAGTTTGAAATGATAAATGAGATATGTGCCCATCAACAAAGAGAATAACTGGTAATGCTATTTTATTCTTAATCAACCAAGGATAAAATATATCGGCAACATATTCAAAAAATGCTTCATATGTCATCCAACCTGAGTCGGTTTTTCCAATACCCCAGTCTGAAGGAAAGTTGTCGGCAATATCTTGAGGTATTCGCTTATAGCTGAACACTACCGTAGTAGGAGCTAAGGAACCGCCTGCATTTCCTGTTACCAACACAGTTAAACATTCCTTGTCGTCGGCATTTACCTGCTGGTACACATTTTTCTCACCTCTCTTTGCAAGCACTTTAGGTCCTTTTGGTGCCAAAAAAAGCTGTCTCATCGCAATTAAAAATTCGCGACAGATCATTCAATATATCAACATGGCCACTATCTTCTAACTCAGTATACACACGTTTATACCACCCTAATAGTTCAGCACCTGTTACCCCCGCTCTGGACGCCGTCAAATTTTGTGATATCCTCGTAGAAATGGTTGGGTTCCTCCGAATAAATGCTTTTAGCCATGTTCTACCTGGTCTTCCATTTTTAAATAAGCCACATGGACGTTTTATATCCTTCAAGTATTTTTCTACACTTACGATTAACTGTTCAGTTGTCACCGGGAAACCCGCTTTTGCTGTATTTTGCACCCAGTCGCATATTTTTTTCTCTTCTTCTGATGTAAGAATTGACGCTGGGCCCATCTTTCGTTCCATTGCATTGGTGACTTCCCTTTTACTTTATTTGTAAGCGTTATTCTTGGTACACCAAAATTTTTTGCAGCCGTTCTTATGGGTGTCTTATGAAGACGAACATCGTTCACTGCTGAAAGCATTGCAGCTTCATTATAATTTAGGAATGCGCCCTTTTTCCCAGACATCTACAATGTCAAAAATTGCTTTTAGTATTATACTTTACAATAAAGGTGGTCAACTAATAAATAAAAGTAACTTAGAGTAAAAGCAAATAAAATAGTTGAATTCTAATTAATGGTGCCCTTCATATATTACTTTGTACAGTATATATACATGACAGACAATTTCATCAGTAGTTTACCATCCCGGTCAATTACTAGAAAAGCATGGTAAATTTGAGTCAGTAGTGGACCACCCCACATGTTGACTTTGTAAATAATTTTTGTATTTTAAATACCATGTTATACCTTAATTAATGCTAAACAAATAAGAAAATCAAAACATTTACCAGGAACAAGGTTATTAAGTTGCTAATATTTGACTTCAAAATTTTGCAATCCTTAAGACAATGTTCACGAAAAAACGAATAATAGTTTTACGCTGCGTCACTCCACAAAACAACTGCCGGCCATTTTGAGTTTTAGAAAATGGCGGATGCGCAGTTCGCATGATTCGATGATCAGATGGCAGCACTGACTATTTAATATGAAATTAGTTTAAAAACATTCCGCGAATTCTTATTTTATCGGTTTATGTGAGTTAGCGGTCAACTACAGGTACATGGTCAATTACTAGTGCTGTTACCTTACTTTATCTTCTCTTTTGCATATTATTTTTTATTTTCTATATCGACTGGTGTAAAGTAGTCCCGGTACTTGAATATAATCTTATGATTAAAAATGATAACAAAGTCATTATCCGTACTACGGCGGAAACTATCATAACACGTGTACTAATACACACTAACAATCTTTTTATTTTATTATTACCTACCTTTAACTATACAATATATTACCATATTATATTACGTCGCATATCTATACAAATAAATAATATTGAAGTATCCTTTTGTAATGTCAAAATAACAGCTTTACAAAATGCATATGAGTGTTTACTTATAACAAAAAAATCAATTTTTAAAATTTTTGTCTGTCTGTCTGTTTGTTCCGGCTAATCTCCGAAACGGCTGGACCAATTTTGACGGGATTTTCTCAATGGCAGATAGCTTATGCTTATAAAGAGTAACTTAAGCTACTTTTATTTTAGTAAAAGTATTTAGGATTCCGCGCAAAAAAAACATAAAACCCATGAAATCCAATCGTAACAAATTCCACGCGGGCGCAGTCGCTGGGAACAGCTAGTTTAACTTAAAAAAAATTGTAATCATTAGGTATGCGGAGACACTAGCGTTTGGAAACCATCGGACACGACACCTCTTGTGGCAGTTGCGGTCACAAAGATAGTGGAGAGTGTTCTGAAGAAGAACGACATCCCCGGCGCAGTGGCGGCTCTGTGCGTGGGTGGTAAAGAGATAGGACAACAGCTGGTGCAAGATCCGCGGATGAAATTAGTCTCATTTACGGGTAGCACTGCGGTTGGGCAACAGGTGAGAGCAAAATTGCATTTAACTTATGACGCTTTAATTACTTTTCATATAAATTATCACTAAGTATTACCTAGTAACTAATATCTAATCTGTGCCTTAATTTCTAAGCAATGTGTGGCAACGTAAATGAATCCATCGCCCTTTTACTTCCGTGGATGTCGTAGGAGACGACAATGGGCAATGCCAGAAAAATCTTATAGTTTCTTAAAGATGGCGATGTATACAGCATGCTACCTTTCCCGGCGACGGGCAGCAGAGTCGAAGATGCGAAAATTCTGGTGCTACGATCGACTATGCTTCACTATGCTGAGCTTGGCAGGCGAAGCATGACGATCAAAACAAAACCTTGCAACGAGCCCATGTCACCAGATATCAACAGTGAACTGTTCTCTACACCTGTTTACACACCAATAAATAAATAATCCATAATTCTATAGATATATTTACATCCAAACTTGCCGGGAGATTACCTTACCGTGTAGTAGCTGCATAAGTATATCCACTATCCCATAAATCATCACGTGGGTGTTGTACAATCGGCGACAGAGGGAAACAAATCGGGAGATGGGCAGCAGCGTCTTCCTAATGACTAAAATTGAAAAACTGCGGTTGCAAACCCGCTTGCCAAGCGTGGCAACTACCTTCCCTATCAGGCAATCTATGGGGTAGACCTATGTTCAGCAGTGGACTATAATAGACTGTAACAGTAACGGTTGCAGGTAGATCAAAAACATTACCTGCCCTACCCTACCTATTGTGCTGGATGATATCATTTTATTTGAACAAAAATTATATTAATATCATCCAATATTAGTAGATAGATACCTACTGAAGAAAATGTGTGAGAGTCCTGGTAGTTTGGCGTTTACCTTAAATTAATAGTAGGTATTAGTGCCACCCGGGTTCGAAGTCGGTCAGGGCTAATAAAATTCAAATTATTAGGAAATTGTAATTATAATACTCTTAAACCCTTTTACTAGTTTCGTGGAATTCAATCTTAGTACTCAGACGTAAACTCTTTTTGATTCTTAATCGAGAAAAGATGTACGTCGATGTCTATGACCCGCAAATTCTACTTACCATCAGACGTACTGTGTGTTGTTATAAAAATACTGCTCTTCCACATGTTCTACGTGCGAAAAAAAAAACAAAGCATTGTGGAGGAAACCTACGTGTTTAAGCAATTTTACATCCAACCGGCTTTCAGCTTTGCTTGATTGGACTCCGCATTGCCAAAATCATTAGTGTTCCATGCCGAAATTCAGGATTACCTAGTGGTTTGATTGTCACAAACGTTCTCACAGACTTGATGATTAAATGTTCACTGTAAAAATGTTGTGACAAAACTAATTTTATTACTATGACGAACTTATTACGTGGTAAATCCATGCTACAGCTATATTAGTTTATAGCACGAATGGGTCGGCTCGACCGGGGAAGGACCACGCTCTCACAGAATACCAGCTTAAAATAGCAGAATAACGCTGCTGTGTTTCGTATGGTGAGTGTAGAGATACCGGAGACCCTTTTTTACTGGAAACGAGGCATTCCATATTAGTCCTCACGGGTGACAACGCAACTGCATTTTGATTCGTAATCGAGGATAGATGTAGATGTCTATGGACCACAGCAACCACTTACGAAGATTTCGTTCAGAAGTTATACGATCATTTACAGACACACTATAATATTTCTCAATCGGTCAAGTCGTTCAGAAGTAATACAATATTTTACAGACGCACTATAATATTTCTCAATCAAATATTACTCAATCGGTCAAGTCGTTCAGACGTCATACGATTACTTACAGGCGCACATTCATATATAAGTTTATAGTCTTGTTGACTACGCAAATGCTACTCTTACAGGTAGGTGTGGAAGTTCAAAAGCGATTCGGGCGCCATCTCTTGGAACTGGGCGGAAACAACGCGATCGTGGTGAATTCTGATGCCAATCTGGACCTTCTCCTGTCTGCAGCGCTGTTCGCTTGCGCTGGCACTGCAGGTCAGCGCTGCACCACCACTAGACGACTGCTTATTCACAAAAAGGTATATAGAGCAGGTGCTCGCGTTACACATCGATCATTAATAAAAAAAAAATATTAGTGATCAATGAAAATACTTATAATTTTTCTTACTATATAGTATATACTATATACTATATTCAAGATTTGATGCAATGTAATATAGTTTGATGTAACATTTTTTTTAAATTTATAATAATAACGAAAACTAGCAACGATTTTTCTTGTTTTAGTTATACAATGAAGTGGTGTCTAGGCTAAAGAAATCGTTCGCTGGAGTAATCAGCAAGATAGGAGACCCGTTACTACCTGAGACGTTAATAGGGCCATTGCATACACCAGCGGCCGTAGAAGCTTACAAAAGAACCGTCGCTGAAGCTGTCAAGCAAGGAGGAAAGATCGAATTTGGAGGAAAGGTGAGTTGTTTTTGTATCGCAATATTTCGTTAAAATACTCGTATTAGAGTCCATTAACCTGCATCTATTTGACACAGAATTCGTTCTGATAGAGCGAACAAAAGCATTCAAAATTGCTGCTTGACTTTGGCATTTCGTCTTGCTTGATAACCTCCTCCTTATTAACCTGTAATCAATTCAGTCTATAGACCTCTTAGATTGTGAAATGGATTTACCGTAATCGAATACGAAATAAAAACAATATTAAGATGTCCACATTTCATACATATCTATTTTAAATAAATTGAAGTGTGATGAAATTTAGCGAAACAGGATCTTCCTTGAGGTTTTTTCTTATCGTTCCGAACTTTTAACCTACTTCAAAAATGGAAGAGGTTCTCTATTCAAATGTATTTTTTATATGTTACCTCGTAAAACTTTTTATTTTAAGATTTACAGATTTTTTTTTATATGAAGATCTGACCAGTAGTTTTTGAGTTATCCTTAACAATACGTATTTAATTGACTTCAACTAGATTGTGATAATGTTCTCATTTTATTTATATTGAAGTCGGTTGTACAATTTTTTTTTTATTTTACCACTTTCAGTATTAACTTTAAAGGGCTCATAAAATTACATCTTGCATGCATAAGCTGTAATTTTATTGTGCAACAACTTGCGAAGTATATTCCGGCAAATATACTTGCAGCATTGAGGATATAACCGAGTTACATCGCACAGTGCGATTCGCAATAAGTTACGCGATATAGACGGCCAAACAATTGCAGCTCGAAATTGCTATAAAACCGCTTTTAAAATTGAATTAATTTAATTTAATATTTATAGGTGATTGAACGCGAAGGATTTTTCGTAGAGCCGACAATAATTACCGACCTACCCCACGATTCCCCTCTGGTGAAGAACGAGTGCTTCGCCCCTATTGTATACTGTATTGAAATCCCCGACCTGGAGACTGGAATAAAGTACAACAATGAGGTCGATCAGGGACTCTCATCTAGCTTATTTACTGAGAATCTGGGTGATGTGTTCAAGGTATGTAACGTTAGCTTTGATAACTAAATTAATGTAGTCACACAGTTCACATTGCATGTAATGCAATATTTGACCTTTTCGCAAATATTATTATGAACATTTGTCATCTAATATAATTTGAGTCCTTTTAATTAACTTTTTTTATAAGTAAGGATGACAAACGAGTACACAGTCTTCTGGATGGTAAGTGATGATGTGACCCATAGACACCTGCATCATTAATTGAGAATAAAATGCATTGTCATCCCTGACGACGAAGATGGAATGCCTCGTCATCAATAAAAGGGATCTCCCGCGCTCTCTACTCTCCACAAGCCAGACACGGCGACATTATGCTGCTATTTCACGATGACTTTCTGTAAGAGCGTGGTCCTCCCCGGTTGAGACGACCTATTCGTGCTGCATTTATTAAGCTTCAGCGGGGCTTTACCACGTACCAAAATTGGCGTATCTAGAGTTATTTTTCAGGGTGAGCCGTTAAATATAGGTACGCAAAAACTAAACAAGAGGAACTTAAAATTCTTTTCTTTTTATTTTTCTTAAATGTTACCCCCACACTAGGATTTTCTCCTGTACCGTGGAGGTAGTTTACAGACATAAATTGCATAAGGACAAACATCCAGACCCGGAACAAACATTTGTAAGCCATACAAATACTTGTTCCGTGCGGGATTCGGACCCGCGTCCCCCAGCGCAGCAACTCATTGCTAAGCCACTGCGCCACGGAGCCGTCAATGTAAAATGTCGATTAATCGGCTGTAAATTTTTTCCCGTGTTCTGTGTGAAATTATTTAAATTCTCATCTTAATATTTTGGGCAAGAGTTAATTATCTACCCCATGTCATTCATATGAGGCTTCAGAGGGAAACTGAAACTGGACATGAGCAGTAACGTTTTCCTGCTAACAACTCAATCATAAATAACAAACACTGCGGTTGCCAAACTGCCTGCCAAGCGCGACAACTATGGCAAATATACCCCCTAAGAGGCAATCTATGGTAGAGGCCTATGTACAGCAGTGGACTTGGGATGGGCTGTAATGGATGGATGGATAGATAGATTCCAACATACCGGGGCGAGTAACAGGTGCTCGATACACCCGGTCCACTCGACATACGCCAATGCGACTAATACGTACGAACTATCAGTGAGAGTGTATGTTTACCGGTGCGACAGTGGATCGGTTCGCACGGGTCGGACTGCGGCATCGTGAACGTGAACATCCCGACGAACGGCGCGGAGGTGGGCGGCGCGTTCGGCGGCGAGAAGGCGACGGGCGGCGGCCGCGAGTGCGGCTCCGACGCCTGGAAGGCCTACATGCGCCGCGCCACCGTCACCATCAACTACTCCGGCACCATCAAACTCGCGCAGAACATCAAGTTCGGCGACCAATAGAGCGGCCCTGCTAGCATTCAAATATCATGTACTACGTACGTACTAGAACAGACATCGTGAACAAAATTATGTAGCAGTGCGGGCTGCGTGGAAGGGGCCACAGAGTACCTTTTTATGGCACAGACTAAGTTTGAGCTCGTAGGCTCGAACGACCAAGTCTCGATGTCTCTTCTAGTACGTAGTACATATAACTTCATACCTGCCAGTAACTTCCCCTGGTGTTGCGGTTGTTCATGGGCGGCGGTAGTCACTTACCATCAGGTGAGCCGCATGCTCGTTTGCCCCCTCTCCTATAAAAAAAAAAACTTTTTTTAATTAAAGGAAACCTATGTACTTGTAATATACTAAATTTAAAAATTACTGTAATCATTATTAATAGTTTATGTATGTACTTTTTAATGCATTGGTTTGACGATAATATGTAACCACCCTGCCATAAGCATTACTTACAGTAAAGACACTTTCGAAGTTTTGGCGGGAACTTGACCGTCGGCAGATTGTTACTCCCGTTTTATCGCATAAATAATGGTTTGTAGTTGATTTTAATACGTAAAAGTGATACGATATTGTGTATTGACTGCGCATGTGAACTATTTATGCTCGACACACACGGTCAGTTAAACTGATCAGTTGAACTGACGTACATCCAAAAACTGACCGCAAGTGTGAAATCTTAAGTTGAGATTTTTAAGTGACGGCAACCGACTGACGCCGTGAGAGGTTTGCGAGCCATTTATATGTAGCAACGCATATCTGCATGCTACCCACGTCGATCGAGAAATTAAGGCCGAACTGACCGTGTATGTCAAGCTTTAGTGGAAACGACAAAACTAGTGCTCTGATATTGATGTAAACCTAAAGTTATTTTGTCCATTTAGGGTCCCTAAGAACTTGAGAGTTGAGATTCTGTCATCGTCGATTGCCTGCTAACAAAATCTAAATTATGTTATAGGATAATTTCCTATTACATAACAGCTTGAGACTGGAGTTCATTAACAAAAAAAAACGACACCTTCACACGCACGGTACGTTAATAAACGTTTTTGAAGTCTATCTTCAAATTGGTCTATAAAGGTAATATGAGGTTAAGCGCGGGGACGGGGTCTAATCCTGCTGTCCAATTAATTCGTTGTTTATCACTACTTTTATAATACAGACCATACTAATAAATTGTTCTGAAGTTAGTGGTTGATATAAGCACAAAAAACGACTTCAAAGTACACAATCGTACAAATCGTGTAATTGGTTTTAATTGATTCTGCACGTACTAATCCCATCAAAATTATCCAGTGCTCAAAATTCGTGCAGACTCATCATTTCATAAGATTTTGACATTCAAATTAGGTGCATTGGTTTAAAGTTCGATTTGCTGATTACCATTGGTACAATAATATTGATTTATATATTATTGTGTCAAATTACATATTATGTGATAATTCTATACGCAGTTAAAGATAAGACGCTTAAATTATACGCATTTTGTACTATCTGGCTCTCCGAGCTGACAAAGCTGAGAGAGCCAGTCAATCAATATGTATTTAAAGCTTCTGTAGTTACGCTTAATATTATGATGTAATAAAGTGTATTAAGAATGAATTTGTTTATAGCCAATGCTGAAGACTGATTGTAATTCTAGAATTGAATAAAAAACGAAAAATTACCTCTTCATATTTTTATTTCATTCGCTTTTTCTGTCTTTCGAAATCGTTAAATTAATTGTTGTAAAAATATCTGTCATTTGTGTATATTATTTCAAAATAAAACTAATAAGTTAGTATTTGACTATCTGTATGTCAAGTATGATGTGTCAGCCTCCACAAGTCCACAGCAATGTCTTTCGACTGCTGCTTGTGAAACTTGTATGTTGCTGCCAAATTGTACCGCAGCTCTGCAATCACGCTGCCTTTCACACCCCACTCCTTTATCTTCTTTTGGATGTGTAATCTGTACAAATTTCATATTTATAATTAAACATATTAAAAATGATTAAAATTTCAAATGAATTGCAATAAATGTATTGCTTCCAAGGTTTTATAAATCACACCTTGCACTGGGTAAAATTTCTACTAGTAGTTACAGTTTGCTTTGCAGTATTAAATAATTAAGGGCGTGGTAGCTTAATTTCGCGCTCACAGTAAATTTCGATTACCATAGGCGCAAATGAAATTATTAATTTGCAATTTTAAGTGCTGATCTACAATATGCTCAGTATTGAACATAAACATCGTGAGAAAACCTGACGTCCGAGGAATATTTCGAACGCATGCAAAGTATGCCATTGCACACTAGAGCAGCGCGGCGGACTAATTACTCTATGACCATCACAGAAATTAGATGAATCCTGTGAAAGTCCAGCTGTGGAACATATATGGGCTGCAACTCAATTTTTTACTTTACTAATACAAACAAAATTGAGAGATCACTCGCCGGGCGACATGGTCAGGCAAGGGTGCGTAGGCTATTCGGGCTAAATACCTAACTTGGTGGAGGATATTGTTAAATTGGTGACCCTGACGTATTAAAACTTCGGTTGTTGTTCGGTATCAATGTATCATTGTAGCGCGGTAACAGTACCACCACAGCTAAAAGAGAATAAACTTCAAATTTTAAACTACAGATAACAAATTTTTGTAATACCATACTAAAAAGGTCACTGATGGTCACCGAAATAAAAATAATGTAGGTTGTCTATTGCCATCAAAATTTAATGTCTCATCGATTAATTTATTGGTAGATGTGATTCTATTTCAGTACTTTTGTAACTAAACAATAAGGGAGAAGGAACTTGAAATGTTTAACAAACATTGCATTAAACCATTTCGTACATTACAGATCTTCAATACCAGACCAATGATTGTCAATCCATAGGCAAAGTATAACAAAATGACATCAAATCCTCTCTTCTATGGGTAATGCTTAAGTAAAACAGTACGCTGGGTAAAGTCTGATGATTTTATTTCACATGTATGTGTCATTGTGGTTGTAAACGCGACTGCTTATCATGTGGTCCCAGATTCAAATCCCGAGTCGGAGTAAAACCAGTTATTGGGTATTTCTGACAAGAAATTCTCAATAACAGTCCTGAGTTAGCAAGTTGACGATGTTTCACCTCCGTGTATCAGAAAGCATTTAAAGGTGATAGCCCTGCGCCTGATCTCTCTGTGGTCATATTAGATTTCCGTACAGGACATGAAAGAAGTTTGTGCGTAATACACATTCGTAAACTATAATGCTACCCAGGCAGATGGATTGCTTCCGTAGAGATTAGCTAAAAATTTGGTCCAGAGGACATTGCAGCAATACATTAAAGTTTTTAAAAAATGCAACATTGTATACAATACCTTGTAGAAGATTTATGTAGCGAGTAAACACTATCACAGCTGAGGTTAAGTCCCATTTGTAGAAATTTCATATCAATACCTGTATTATTTTTGGTGCCAAAAGGAGGATTCATTAAAACTGTGTCAAAATAATTCTCCCATCTGAAATATTAAAATTAAAACAAATATGTACAGCATAAATACCATTTGCAAGTTATTTAAATTTATTAATATATTGCTTTACCTGAATGTGTTACAATTGAGGAAATCACTTTTTATTACATCTATATTACTTATTTCAGCTTCTTCTACATTTTCATTTATTATTTCTACAGCATCTTCATCAATATCAACTGCTGTGACAAATCCCGCCCCCAAAAATGCTGCACCTATACCCAATACCCCAGGACCACATCCAGCATCTAATACTAAGCGATTTTCTAATGCTTCAAATTGTGTCTAATAAAATATAGGTATAAATCATTGTTTTAGCTTAATAAAACAATAAAATTAAATAATATAACTTAATTTAAAAAATGTGTGAGTGTCGTAGAACACTTGGTTGGTACGAAGTTCCTTGTGTAGTATATTATTATTATTGATAAAGGTAAGTATTATATTATTGATTAACAAATACAATTAAATGAATTACTAGCGTCTGTTAAAATGAAGCGTCAATTGAAATAAAATAATATTTCTTTCATGGTAAGATAAGAAAAAGTGCGAGGGAGATGGATATTATTCCATCTCAATTCCTTATTTCGCCGCCAAGGCCGTCTACACAAGGGGTAGTGACGAAAAAATCTTACACATTTTGTCGCCTAGCTCCCATCCGCCAAGCCCGTACTGTCCGATAAAGAACTTCGTTCCAAAAAATAAAAATCCCCCGAAACAAAAAAAGCTGATGATCTTCAAACAGCTAAACTAAAGCTAAGGTTTTTTTGAAACATAGGTAAGAACACCCTCAATTAAGACACCTTTAAAATGAAAAGTACTTAATCTAAATCAGTCAATCCGGTCAGGAGCTATTATGCCACACACAGATACACACTACCAAGTTATAACACCCCTCCATTTACGTCGAGGGTTAATGATGGTGTAAAATAACTAGTATTTGGGTTGAAATTTAGAATCATTTGGCAGGAGGGGGCACGGTATGAAGGGGAGGAAGGGGGAGCGTCCCCTTACTCCCGACAGCATTCCCATTAAAAGATAATACAAAATTCTTGAAAAAAATCATAAAGAAAATCCTATAGACCTAACCTGAAAGTAACATTTAACGTCTCCGGCAGGAGGGGGAAGAGGGGAGCAGGAGTGTGCCCTATCAGGGAAAGCCCCTCTTCCTTTCCCTCGTTGCAGAAAAGTATAGTTAATGAGTAATGTTTTTTTTTTGTAAAATCATAACCTCACTTTTTTACACAGGAATATTGACCCAAAGTTATTTCTACAACGGCTTCGGCGCAGCGGGAAGTGTAGCCCCTTCGCCCTTGCGTAGCGAATCACAGGCACCCATGCTCACCTTCGCAGCTTCGGCTTATTGCCTCACAGCCTTACAGCCTACGCCGCCGCTACGGCTCGCACAGGTGGTGCAATTTGCTACGGCGGGCGGGGGCTGCTCTCCCTCCGCGCCTACGGCTTTACAAAAATTAAGAAAAAGACTATGAGGAATCAGGGCGTGCTAGTTTAATTTTAGAACAGATTCAATCAGATCAGATATCTTATTTATAAAGTCAGGTTGCCTTTGCTCCCGCCACAACCTTCTAACCTATTACAACTGAAATTATTTCTGGGTGTTCAAGTATTTCTGGGCAGTTTTAAGCAATTCAGAAATAAAACAGTATATTATAATTGTTTCTTTAATTGTCTGTAAACATAAGTTTTTTTGTTAATTCCTCATAAGAATCTCTTTTATTCTTTATAATTTCTCTTCTCCGTAAATTGTCATATCTCAAGTTGGTAAAATTTTCTCTATTATTAGTTGTCTTTAGCGAAATACCTCTTGACAGTGAATATAAACAGTAGAATAATGTGACACTAGTCTTACATCCTTGTCGCACTTACACAAAATTCTGTATGCTATCCAGCTTTCACAGTAATATTGCATACGTTTTTCCATGTTTTATGCATTTTAGGTAATAAGAGTTTTTATTTATTTTTTCGACAATGGTGCATTACCTTTTAATGTGAGTGGTATCATTATAATCGGGGACCAAATCTCCCCCAAATTCCTGCCAAACAATTCTAAATCCAACCCAGTATTTGAAATGATATAAAAAATTTATAAAACAAGCATTATACTAACCTGCATTGTGTAAAGTGCAACAGCAGCTATGTGTGCTGGAGTCTCATACTGTTCATATTGTATCTTGGGTTTTGTGAAACCTGATAAATCTTGTAAATATCCCTCTAATGTTTTCAATTTCATTAAAGCTGACATTTCTATGCATCAATGTGTATTAGACAGTTTACTTGGTATCAAATCTAGGGAGCACGGGTAAAATCTGGTTACCAAATGAAGAGTCTTGTGATACAAAGAAACCACAAGAAGTAGCATTCGCGTGTTGTAGTGCTGCTCTATGGCTTGTGTTTACAATATTTGCTTCAGGTAACTGAGGGAATCCCTGTAATTTGTTTTGTATTAGTCATGTGATCATGTCATTAAAACATTTCAATTGATTTGGAACCTTTAACTAATTCTTGCCATCACTGATGTTTAATGCCTATAAATATTATTTGAATAGCAAATGTGCAGATAAAAGCTAGTCAAAATATATAAAGAAACTATACACCATGTGCCTCTATAGGCACAGTCATCTTCTTCAAGAGAAATTTGTAATTGTTATTAAAACAGCTTTTTCAGTTACTGTTTAGATGTCCATTCTTTGAATATGTGATTTATAATGTCTATTCATGGCTCTTAAAAATGAGAGGAGTTTGGAGGTATCACTACATAGAGCATATGAAACCTTCTTCAACCATAGGTAGTTTTGGGGAAATTGCTACTTTTAAGGACTAAGATGAAATGCCTAGCAGTGAATTTACCCTTACTTGGTAGCAGAAATAGGTAGGATAGTTTTACGCAGATGGAAAAAAGGGAGCCCTACCACTCTGAATACTTTTTCCGATTACTAGCTACATAACATAAATAACCGGTACCTTCACAACATAAAGTAAGTAAATGCTACTCAGTGTTGTAATAGAAGAAATCTATGTAAGTAAAGCTGTTGGCAAAATCTGATCTAGTAAAAATATGAAATAGTCGTAGTAATAGTTCTGTAAAACATTCTTACTTACTATCATAGTCTTAAATATTATGCAAAATGAGTGTCACAACCAATGAGACTCAATTAATGCTAATAAACTACATTTTCTGTTAGGATTTATTGTGTCACATTTAAAGTGACTTTAAAACCATTTTTTTATTTGATAAGGGTGACAAACGAGCACACAATTCACCTGATGGTTAGTGGTTGCTGTAAACCATAGACATCTATCCTCGATTACAAATCCAAATGCAGTTGTGTTGTCACCCGTGAGGACTAAGATGGCTTACCTCGTTTACAGTAAAAAGGGTCTCTGGTTCTCTACACTCACCACACAGCAGTTTTAAGATGCTATTTTACACTAATTTATCGCGCAGTACATGTTAGATTTTTTACTGCTACTTATGATCTTGTAGTCCTTAATTAATTTAGTTCTGAGAAATTAGGCATCATCAATCCTTTTACATAGTGAATACAAAACACTTACAGCTGTAGCAGACACAGGTGGAATAGAGCACATAGGCAATTGATTAACAGGGCTTGGTTGAGTAAGAGGAATAGTAGTAGCTGTCAATGGAGCAACGACACCCTGTTTTAATAACATTTGCTTCTTTAATTGAAGCTCCTCTAATATTTTTCGATTGGTCAACTCTACATAAACAAAACAATTATTTGCAAATAAATCACAATCAAAAATTCTTACAGTAAAATAATTAAACTAGATTATTTTTTGTTAAGTAAATTTCATTTCTAAATAACCTCTTTGAGCATTAGGTTGAGGAAACGCCATCTAATACAACACAGATTTTCTGTCCAAAACGCAACTAGCAAAATTTTTTCGAAATCTGATCTAAAAGATTTTTATACAGCAAAATAAAAGTGCAACTTCTTCTATAAATTACTAACTTAAAAATCAAAAGTGAAAACATTTAGCATCACAGTAGGGATTGGTAGGGATATTCGATATACATCGATGGTCGATGCATCGAATTGATCCGATGTTTTGGAAAGTTATTGATATACTCGATGTATCGATGTATTTTCATAAAACATCGAACCAATGATAACCAGTCAATTGTAAAAAGGTATACTTATATATCACTATTAATATTACAAGTTCTAAATCAGAAAAACTAAAACATGCTCTGATTTAGAAGTTATAATATTTAAACCTGCTGGTGGTGCTAGTTGGCAGCTGTCAGTCCCTTGGCGGAATCAAGAAATAGAGATTGGCTGGTTGTCCGAGTGTCCAAGTCAAAAGGACGACGGGTTCCAATTGCGCACCAGTCTTCGTTTTGTCAACCGATAATACACTCCAAAATACCGTATTGTATCACAAAACTATTTATATTTATATATATTTTCGATAAGGACTATTAATATTTAATAATTTAAAATTAATATTTTGCTTAGACACGAGATACGTAGTATTTAAATTAAATTCACATTAATTGTACAAACAAAAAATCATACTGATAATTTTCGCTAGAAGCTGCATAAGATGAAAACAGCTTCTGGTTGAAGTTGAAAGGCTGCTAAATTACATTTATATAGGTTTTTTTTTTATAGGATTGGGTGACAAACGAGCACACAGTCCACGTGATGGTAAGTGGTTACGGTGACCCATAGACATCTACATCTATCCTCAATAAAGACTCAAGATGCAGATGCGTTGTCACCCGTGAGGACTAAGATGGAATGCCTCTTTGCCAGTAAAAAGGGTCTCCGGTTCTCTACACTCACCATACGAAACACAGCAGCGTTAAGCTGCTATTTTACGCTGGTTTTCTGTGAGAGCGTGGTCCTTCCCCGGTCGAGCCGACCCATTCGTGCTACTACCATAATATAGCTGCAGCATGGACTCGGGACAGATTTTTCGTGAATTTTGTTCTAGATCCGCCGTCCATTTAGTAGTAGGTCAATGATAATAAATAATAATTTATTTATTTTTTATTGCATTCCTTAATATAAAGGAATACAAAGGGCGGACTTAATGCATTCTCTACCAGGTGAGAATTTGAGGTAGGTGTAGCAGTATAGAATAAAACCAAAATAAAAAATAAATAACTAAGATATATATAAATTTTAGTAATATATAAAATAAATAAATACATACAGACATATACATACATACATACACATCAACACATAAATATAAATAGTTCATACCCACATATTGGCTATTAGGGTATATTCGCCATAGTTGGCACACTTGGCAGGCGGGTTTGCAATTGCGGTTTTTTTATTATTTTGAGTTGTCAGGAAGATGCTGCCGCGAAGTATATAGTAGCAAAGTCCGGCAGGCATGTCTACAGACATGCCCGCGGGCATGTCCGTCAAGTGAATTCCCTGCAGGCATTAAGTCCGCCATATGTACGAACTTGTTGTACATAACAGTAAAAAAAAACAAACACGTGTGTGTGTTTGTTTTTTTTAACTTAACACACACAAAAGGCGTGCGGATAAAGACAGTGCCGATGTAAGATATCATTCAAAATTGTCAGTTGTTTGCATGGGGTGTCAGGAAGTTGACAACAGATTTATAATGTAAAGTCATAAAAAGTACTCGATATCGATCGATATCGATGCACAGTCTCGATGCATCACATCGAAAAAACACATCGATGTATTTTCAAAGTGGAGACCCCTACATCACAGCATCAATCAATTTGATTTGGAATAGGGATGTTCGATTCGATGTAGGAATGTTCGATGATCATCGATGTTAAAAATTAAAACAGCGATGTTGACACATGTCAAACATCGAAGCATCGATGTCAATGAACCCATAATCGATTATTGGGAAATTGCGAACAATGCGAACCTGCGAAATCAATCTCAACTAAATCTTGCATCTGCTCCGAAGATTTAAAATTTTAAATAAGTCAGAATATCTGAACGCATCGCTAACCTGACCAAAATATCATTATGGTATGTCAAATTGAATTGTCAAGTTACACCTGTAATGTCACAGCGGTCACTGCTTTCGCTTTATTTTAAAGTGTCGTTGTCGTTTGTCACATGATAACTATTCTACGTAAATTGATATTCAAGTTAATTGTAACTTTTTCCCTTAGTGTGTATACCCACATAATTTTGATACAATTTGTAAGTATGTACACATATACAAAAACATCGATAATAGTCAAAATCGATGTTTTGAGTAGGCTAAACATCGATGTTGAGCTATCGATGCCAACATCGATGTCATCATCGATGTTTCTGCAACATCGACATCCCTAGTTTAGAAACTGCAATGTTACCAGATCATCCACCAGATACCAAAGAGTATATAATTACTACGTTTTGGAATAAAAATATCAAGAATAGCTGTCCTAATCTATACATATAATAAATCTGTAGAAAAGTCGTGTCTGTAATTCTAATATATTCTTGAAAAAACAAGTGCAGGAGACTAAATAAAAGGTTCTGAAGCCAAATTAGTGGTTTTTAGAATTTTTGTCTGTCTGTCTGTCTGTCTGTCTTTCTGTCTGTCTGTCTGTCTGTGTATTCCGGATTCACGCAAAACTACTGAACCGATTTACATGAAATTATGTATGTAGGTAGTGAGTAACCCGGGGCAACTTATAGGCTACTTTTTATCCAATTACGGAACTTCATAAAAGGAAGGTTGAGTATTTTATTTCCTTTAGATGTTATTTTTCTATTATATCTTGGTTATAGGCGGGATGACGGGTGTTTTTCAAATAACTACCATATTTGTAAATAAAGTTTAAAATATAGTTATAATCTTGGTAAAATAATTTGTAACTACACCGATTTGGTATTCAAAACAGCGCCATCTATTATCAAATGAAAAAAGTAGTATATTTTGCCTTCAGTTACTAATACATAAATGAAATAATATAAATAATTCACGCACGTACGCACGCACGCACGCTCGCACGCACGCACACACACATACACACACCCTGTTTCTTTTTTGTTGAATGTATTTAGTTAAGGGAGGGCGAGGACCTTCTACCACAAGTATCTTTAAAAAGAAGTCTTCAAACTTATATATACTAATTTAAGAATATGTTGGAAACAATAAACTTTCATTTCATTCATTCACTTCATTCATCCCGCGTTGGAATCGGCGCAGCGAAAACTTTTTTGCCCAAAAACTCTGCGGTCTGTGCCCATTATTAACATGTATGTAAGCTGCTACTTTTTTTACTTTTCATGGGGAATATATGCAGTTTTTTTTTATTCGTGTTTTCAGGTATGTTGCTTTTTGTTTTCACTCTGCCGTAGATATTAAGGCTTGCAAAGATGAGTAGAACTCATTATCGTCAGCCTATCTAAATTCCACTGAAATGCACATATGGCTCCCCCATAAATTGTCAAGTTTGCTATAGTTGCCACGCTTGGTAAGCGGGTTGGCAGCCGCAGCTATTATTATTTTGATCTAACAACAGATGATGCAGCCCATCCCATCTCCACTTTGTTTTCCTATGTCGCCTCTTACGATGGGACGATATAGAGATGGTGGATTTTCTTTCACCGCCACAACAGGGCGAAAAATTTTCTACTCCCGTTCATGAGTTTAGTGCTCCTCACGTTCACTTTGAATAACATTTATAAGGAATAAAACTAATTTTAAGGATCTTATCGCGTTTAATTTTAACTTTTCAAATTACCGATACTTTGGGCATTTTACAGCACCCATGGTAACGGGAGGGGCTGGAGAACTGGGGTGTTTGACGACTTGATGTCATCGTTAAAATAGAATAGAATAAATGCAGTAGTAGTTTGAATTTAATTATATTAATTATGGGGACCTCAGCAGATGGTAGCGCTCAGCCATCTTCCCTATTAAAATTAGGATATTTTTAATTTCAATAGTCTCGCGAATCATCATTGGTAGAATTCGGTGTTCTATTGCAAGGATTTGTTGTCTATCAGATCCGATATAATGTTTGGGACGATACTAAAGATGTTGACATACTTTAGTCTTCCCGAAGTTTCGGTGCCTCACATCAACGATATGTTCTTTTACTCGGCACTTTCATCTAAGATGCGTAAAAACACCCGTAACATTAGTTTTAATCCATGTGTAGTATTCATTATTATAGAACTGTATTTATGAAATTTTCAAGTCTACTCCAAGTAAAAAATATCTACATCTATTTTATGGTGCCAATCAATATTAAATAGGACCAATGATATGAATAAAATGTCTCAAATAAACATTATATTACTTTGTTAAAACTAAATTAACTTTTACTATAAATAAAAGTAAAGAGTAAAATGTAAATAATAATAATACATTTTGATTTCAATACTATTTACCATTCTTATGGATACATTGGAATCGGAAGACACGCCCGATATAAAAAAAATAGTAGATGTTTCTAGACATATGTATATATTCACGTGTGTCTGTAGCATGTTACCAATCATCTACGTCTAATAGTAATTTAGAATGAAAAAAAAATTGACAGACACAGAAACATAGACACCGAAGTGACTAAAAGTGATCGAATTTTTCTAAATTTGGCACGGAACAGCATTTAATGATGTTCCTAAATTCAAGCGCACGTGAGCGAAGCCGCGGGTAAAAAGCTATATAACAATATTATATTATAGTCTAAATGTAGTAATAATATCCTCCTTGTTGCCGTGTAGTGGCGGTTAAGAATATCCACTACCCCATAACTTCCCGTGGGTGTCGTAAGAGGCGACAGTGGGAAACAGGCAAGAGATGGGCAGCAGCATCTTCCTGATAACAGCAATATTACAATAAAATAAAACTGCGGTTGCCAACCCGCTCGCCAAGGGTGGTAACTATGGCAAATATCTCCCCATGATGAAAGTTACGAAGAGGCGGATCCCAGTCTCCGGTGTCCCCGCTATTCCTGGCTACGGTGGCAACCATGGTAACGGCGGGGCAGGGGGTGCTAAGAATCTCCGGTGGCGATTCGGTTGCCACCTAA